CTATGTGGTTGCTAAGTGTCAGTGACAACTTTATGACATAATCTAACACAGAGAGAGAAGAGAAGAGAGCTGGAAGAGACCTTGGAGATCTTCTAATCCAGCACCCTGTGCAAGCAGGAAACTCTCTACCATTTCAGTCCAGTTTCTTCTTAAAAGCCTTCAGTGATGAAGTTCCCACAAAGTCTGAAGGCAAGCTGTTCCAGTAGTTAACTGTCTGCACTGTTAGGAAGTTTCTCCTTATTTCCAGGTTGCTTCTCTCCTTGATTAGTTTCCATCCATTGTTTCTTGTCTTGCCCTCCAGTGCTTTGGAAAATAAATTGACCCCCTCCTCTTTGTGGCAGCCCCTCAAATAGTGGAATAATACTATCATGTCATCCCTTATTCTTCTTTTTTTTAGATTAGCCAGATCCAAAATCTGCAGCCATTCTTCATATGGTTTAGCCTCCAAACCTCTTAGTTGTTCTTCTCTGAACTTTTTCCAAACTCTCAATCTCTAAGGTACTTAACAGATCAGGTATTAGTTTAGGAATACTAGATAATAAATTTCCATGCCTTAACAAATAAGGAATTTTAGATGCGTCAATAGGATTAACATAAAACAAACCAGATAGCCAATGCTTAGCTTGAATAAAGTGTCAATTAGGGAAAAGTTCCATTTCCCCTCTCAAAGTACAGTTTTTCAGAGAACATGCAGGTTAAGGGATTATAATTATGAACCACTATTTTCCATATGAATGTTACATGGCAAAGAATACAAAATTGATTCTCAAAGAAGCAAGGGTTGCAATTCTTGCCAGTGTTAAAGAGGATTGAAATGACTCAAGTTGAACCAAGAGACAGCTCACTTCTGCATTTTCTGAGTTTTATTATTCCAATCCATAGTAAAAATTAACATGAACTATAAGTTGACAATGTGGAAAATTGTTTCAAGAAAATAATTGAAGAATAGTTTATTTACAAATAATCAATAGTTTATTTGTATTTATTTATATGCATCTATAGATGTATAAGATGATTTACTAGTGAACTCATGAAGCTATTTTGAAATAAATAATGTGAAGCAATGCAAGTAGAAATATCTCTTAAATTATATAAACCAATTTCTGAGATAAATTCATTTCAGCACATTTGTCAAAATACTAAAACTTGGTTCCTGTTTTGAGCTTCCCCAAAGACGGACCGCTGACCGCGATCGTGCACGGCTTTGGTTTGTGCTTTGGCATCTGAGAGCCCCAATCCTTTGGATTCGGGGCAGAAGCTACCTCGTAGGGGTGGCGGAGGAAGGGGAGACTGTCAGCTGGGTAGAGAGGAGTTGCAAATCCCCTCCCCAGCTTGGCAATTGCTCCCTCCTGAAGACGCCTGAAGCGGTGGTCTAAAATGGCCACCCTGAAGGGGAAGATTAGACTGGAATAAGATTGTGCAGGAGAGAGAGAAAGAAGCGAACAGCAGGAGGAATGGGATGATATAATCAAATGGAAGATACCCCCAAGATTAACATTTCAAAGAATCTTTAAGAAAGGATCTAAGCGGCGAAGAGAAAGAGAAAAAAAAAGATGTGAATTGCTTTTGATAGCGTCAGGGCTTCGAAACCGCAAAAGGTAGAAGCTGGAGAAGGAACTATATAATCAACTTGGATAAGTATACTTTGATTTTATATTGGCATTAATAAAGCTGAACTATAGACTGTTAAAGAGGAAATTTAATATCAACGGGATTTGATCTTTTTCTTGTTGGAAAATTGTGGTTTAAAAAGCTCTGAATAATAGAGAAGAAAAAAGAAACGAGGGGGTGAAGATTTAGCATAATAAAGAGTGCCATCTCAGTTAAACTCAACTTGTTTTTCTTTTAAAAAACTCTTGTTTCTTGAAATTGCATGGAAATTGATACAATAAAGGAAGAACTTTGAAAAATTGAAACATTGTAAAAAAGAAAGAATTAGGAAGATTCTGCCTTTGGATTAGTTGCTGATTCTGACATGAATTTGGCACTGGATTAGCGGAGACTTAAAAACTTGAGAGGAAGAAAAGTTGACTGTTGGAAATAAACTTTAAAGATACTATTTGGATCAAATTGCAAATCAGAAAGTTGTAAAATGGCGATTTCTCTTCTGGCATTAAAAATGGAACTCAGAAAAATGAAAGAAACACTACAAGAACGAGGTGAATTGCTGGGTTTTGCTTTAAAATTTATTGAAAATGCAACAGCAGAATATGAACAACAAAGACAAAAGTCAGAATAGGAGGTGGACCAAATCATAAAAGAGACTATCTTTAGTGATCATCGAGAACCAAGAACTCTTGAAAGAAAGAAGAAAAGAGTTGGAAATAAATACAGGAGATTTAAGAAACTAAATAAAAAGGGGAATATCCGAAAAATTAAAAAAGGGAAAAAGAGTCAGCAGAAATTCAAAGGGCTAAAGGAAGCTATAAATAGAGAGAGGGATAAAACCTGGAGTGAAAGAACAAAGGAGAAAAGACGGGGAAAGAAGGACAAGAAACAGGTTTTGGAAACAAAGAAATATGGGAATTGTAAAAAAATGGGGAAATCCTTAATTGGACACAGAGATAATGGGTGATTATTATATAGAAAGGGGATTCTGCAAAGTATTGAGAGGTAATATAAATAAATTTATAGTTACGAAATAGGGACATATAGACTGACAAGATGGAAAAACAGAATTGTTATTTTTTGGATAATGGAATCTAATGCTCTTCCTCTTTATGTAGAGAGATAATTGTAACAAATAATGGAATAAGTATATTAGATATATTGAAATATTTTTAAGATTGGAATGTTGGCTTTTTTGGTTTAAATATGAATGGAATAATTAATGGAATATGTGTATTAAATATATGGAAATAAAGGAAATGATATAGGAGGAGAGCTGAAATGGAATTAACTTTAGGGCTTTTACTGTTTGAATGAGTAGATTAATATGTCCTTTTTTGGGGGGCGGGATTTAATGAAATTTAAAAGGAGAAAAATCATGCAGAATCTGATTTATATATGCTATGTAGTTTTAAAGGGATTATTAAGTTTAATGTTTTAGGTAATAATGTTAAATGTTTTAACAAGATTTAAAAGGGGTGAAAATAAATGAATTTATAACTTAGAGGTGGCGCACTTATATTGAGATTTCAGGGGGCAAACCAATTTATAGAAGAAGTGTCTTTTTTAAATTAGAATTTAAGATGAAATATACAAATGTGACAGTTAAAAGTACTAAAGTATAATGATTATGAAGTTATCATAAGTGAATTAAATAATGAGATAAATATTTGGAATAATACAATAAAATAGAAAATGTATAAAAGCACTGTTAAGATAAGGAATTGGATATAAAAATTGAATATGTAACCATGGTCATATTTGTATGTATATGTAAAACCTGTAACCATGCTGTTCACTAAAAAAGAGATGTTAAAATATGGAAAACTGAATAAAACTTGTTTAAAAAAAATACTAAAACTTACTGGTGTGGTGCCAAAATAGAAGATAAGTTTACAAGATAAATTAAAATATCTGGGTACAGTCTAAGGCTCCAAATTATAAACATAGTAGGTTTATTACTGAATGAGATCTACATTAGATCGGATTTATTCTAATTTATAGAGAAATCAAATATGATACCAAAATCTTCTATCAAAGAAATGTTGTAATGGAAAATGTTTCTTGCATAACTACAAAACATGCATGGGTACCAATATGTCAGCTACTATAAAAGAAAAGACAGAATTTTCAGAATTTTTAATAGCAAGAGTAAGGTTTATAATTACATTAAAAAGAAAAAGTGCTGAAGAATGTTCTTTGCTCTTGACACATGTGATCTCAGCTCCTTTGAGTCTAGGTACTCTCCATGGTTAACATTGGTTTCATTTCAAAATTCAAAGTTGGGTTGTGCATGCTTAATACTTGGATGGAAGACTATCAAGAAATCCTAGAACAGTTGGGTATCCTAGGAATTCAAGAAAACAAAGGAAGAAATAAAATTAATTTGCTTTGTGGTATATGTGCATGAAATCACCAACAGTTTGTCTCAAAAAGATTTTATTTTTGACTGAAGGGATTAAGTCATAACCTGTTACAATTATTGAAAATAGCAACAGCACTTAGACATATATGCTGCTTGATAGTGTTTTACAGCCCTCTCTAAGCAGTTTTACAGAGTCAGCATATTGCCAACAATCTGGGTCCTTGTTTTACTGACCTTGGAAGGATGGAAGGTTGAGTCAACCCTAAGCCTGGTGAGATTCGAACTGCCAAATTGCAGGCAGCTGGCAGGTAGCAGAAGTAGCCTGCAGTACTGCATTCTAACCACTGTGCCATTGCGGCTCCATGTAGAGGAGAATGAAAAATTGGGGCAAAAAAAAAAAACCTCTTCCAAATTTATAGTAAACTAAAAGTGAGTTGTAAACCAAAGACAGAAAAACAAATTTTGTGAGATATCTAACTATTGTCTTGCTTTTACTATAACCTTCTACCAATCTATTTGTTTATTGGACATATGCTCCCTATTTCAAATATATAACTCTGGGCAATATTACAGAATTAATATTTTAATACATTAAAAGGATAATATATATGAAAAGATGAAACCCATCCAGCAAACACAGCAATCAATAGTCAACATAACCATTCACTCACACACAGGGGGCAGGATGTGGGTGCTATCTCCTTTTAGATAAGAAGCAGAATAAAATGGTTGTGTATGAACCTGTATGCGGAGATAGCCAGAAGAAGTTTATGAAGCAACCACGTAAGCCTGGCAGAAAAGGCAGATTTACTGATTGATAGACAAGTACTTTGAACAGTTTCTTGTGTGTTGCAAGTATTTCTTTCAAAAGATTTACATAGCCATACAGTGACATTCAGGATGAAATATTTAGGGAAATGACTCCTATATTTTCTCTTAGAGACATTTGAAGTTTTAACATGTCCACCTTTATATTATAATCATGTTTTTTCCCCTCTTCCTCCCCTCCCCTCCCTGTGCTTTACAGGGAGATACAATTGTTTCCTGTGATTCTTATGGTGTATTGAAACTGTGGGATGTTCGGAGGGGAGTCCCAATGATCTCCATTGATGCTGGTCCACACCCTGGCAATCAGGTGGCTTTTGATCCTTCCGGTAAGATCCTTCTTGACACAGGAGATATAAGGCACAAAGGTTTTACCAAGGCCGTTTGTCTGCAGTGCTGGATTTATTAAGAGTTTTAGAAACCTAATTAGATGTAATTCTACCATTGTCTTGTACATATGTAGAACAGACTTCAGAGGTGAAAAAGAAACAAACATAAAATGTTGCTTTCATTGAAATTAATGAAATCAACAGAAACAAACCCATAGAAGAAATATGAAGGCTGCATAATATTTTTTTTTTCTGTGAATCCAAAACTTATACAAGTATTCCTAATAAACAATAGACTTTATTCATGCCATAACAAATAGCCTTAGATTTATAAGGAAATTAAATATATATGAAATGGGTTAGTTTCACAATGCTTCCCAGGGCAGAAATTGCATCTGTCATCAAGTTGTGCTTTTTGTCCCTTAATATTAAAATAAGCACTCACTAAAAACATCCAGGGTTTTTTTTATATTTAAAATTTCCTAGCTGGAATACCGTATTTGCCGGCGTATAAGACGACTTTTTTGCCCTGAAAAACATGCCTCCAATTGGGGGGGTCGTCTTATATGCCGGGTCGTCTTATACGCCAGCAAATAGTAATTGGGAAGCACTGCGGCTGCCCGCGGCTGAGGCACTTTTGCGCACCGTGGAAACGAATCCCGTGAAGCCGAAAGGAGCAGCCAGCCTTCTCCCAGCTCCCAAGGAAACGAGGCTCGCACCGCCCGAGCTCTGCTGAGGTATCCAGCTGGGGCTGTCAGGAGTTGTTACCGCTGGCGCGGCTCCACGCGGCTCCAGTCCTGCGTTGCCTCGGGAAGGGAAAGGCAAAACCAGGAGCCGCTGCTGCCATTGCAAAGCGCCGCCGCGGCTCTTCCTTTTTGCCTTTCCCTTCCCGAGGCAACGCGGGACTGGAGCCGCGCGGAGCCGTGCCAGCGGTAACAACTCCTGACAGCCCCAGCCGGATACCTCAGCGGAGCCCGGGCGGTGCGAGCCTCGTTTCCTTGGGAGCTGGGAGAAGGCTGGCTGCTCCTTTCGGCTTCACGGGATTCGTTTCCACGGTGCGCAAAAGTGCCTCAAAAAAAAAAAAAGTGCAAAAGTGGAAGGCGTGCGGAAGAGGGGGCGAGTATATAACAAACTATATTTTGAGTGGAAATGTTGGGGGGTCGTCTTATACGCCGGGTCGTCTTATACGCCGGCATATACGGTAATTGCATTTTTGTACTGTCACAGTTAGATTCCTTTCACAAATACCCAAAACTATTTCAAAAGAAAGTTTCCCATAAACTTGCATAGACTCGCACACGTAAGCCTAACTCAGAAGAGTTACTCAAGCTACTCAAATCTAGCTACTCAAATCAATTAATCTAGAGGTAAATAGAAGAGAATGAATATATGTAGCTCATGATTGAACTGTGGAGTTAGTGGTGTTCTTTGAACTTGGTTCAAGTAGACAGCACCTAGTTAGATAATAAAACGTAAAGAATTCCACAATTTAAATATCTTATTGTTTCAGGTATTGACCCATTCATAATGAAATTCTAAACCATCCCCACTAAAAATTATACATAGATACTATTCCTGAAGTATCAGATAGCCATTAGAACTGATAACCTGATGTCCCATAAATTTAGTCGGTCCATTTTTAAAACCATAAATACTGTATATGCATTATCACATTTGATAGCTGCAAATTCTGTGGCTGAATTGTGCCTTATGAAAAAAAGGCTTTCTTTTATTGATCCTGAATCTTCTCATTTAATTTGAATGAATTATTCTAACGTGAGAACTAATAGCAATTGCTGTATTTATTTTGAATTTATAACTAACTGCATAACTGCAGTAGACTAAAACAATTGAAAGAATAATTTAATAAAATGCCCATGACATATAATAATCTCCACAGATTCAAAATGGTTGGTAAAAGTTATTTCTTTATGATTTGTGGGTGAGCATTTTAAACAAATAACATTTTTAATGCTTTTAGAACAGGGGGGAATGGCATTTTTCATCTCATGCAGCCTCTCTTTGAAGCAAGCAAAAATAATTGATCTTCTTCCTAAAGAGCTGTTTTATTTCCCTTTTTTTAAATTGAATGACTCTTATCCTTAAAAATAAGATTATTTTCTTCCTTCCTTTCTTCAAGCAAATATTCCCTTTACAAACGAAGTACTATACTTCCTTCTTATAATAATTGCATTCAGCTTAGTTTCATAAAATGATTACCCTGATTTATACAGGCCCTTGGCTTTTCTGCTTATTAGCTGTCCCTGAGCCAGCTGCTCTGTTGTGAACTCACTCTGATAGATCTACTACATGCAGAGTGGCTGCCAGCAAGAATGCAATGTATGAGAATTCTCCTATTGTTCAAGCAACCCATAATACCCTCCATGCTTTTCAGAATGAAGCCCTTTCTGAGCACCTTCTCAATATTTCCAATAAGGGTTTTTTGCTCAGAAAAAGTGTACCCACTCCTGAAACAGCATCACCAAGTGGGAACTGTTGCTTTAAATCTAGGCTGCAACAGCTCTCATGTTGCTAAACCTGAGGCTGTTGCAAGTGAACTGACCCCAAGAAGGCAAAGAAGCAGTATACAAACTGTGTTACCCAAGCTGTAGGAACTGCTGAGGATGTGCCAGAAGAAACATTGATTGACTTATTCAGTGCATTGTCAGAACCTGAGCAAGTTAACATCATTCAAAGATTGGATGACCTAAAAGAGTCATTGACAACACTACAGCAAAGCCTCTATTTAATTTGGCTTCACTAACCACACAATCTTGTGACAATGTATTTAATCAACAAACTGCCTCTACTTTAACAGTAAAAGAAGGTACTGTCACACAGGCTGACTGTGGGGTAAATGCACTGACTGACCCAACCTCTGAGAAACAACTGAAAGACAAAGGGCTTCATCACACAGTGCCCCCTAAGCTGACAAACACTAAGGAGATAATCTAGCTTCCATCTTCAATTGATTTAGAAGCTCCCATAACAGCTTTTCACAAGATGAATCCTCAGCTATGCCACTCCAAAAATGGACATAAATCTACATTTATAGATTTAAACCAGAGTACCTGCCCATTGGGAAAAAAAATCTTTCTTGGAGCAAGAGCAAAGGCATACTGGCAACCGAGATATAGAGGATCAACAACAAGTTCTGCAACCCATGAAGAGAAATATCGAACCTCACAACAATTGTGTTTATATGGGAAGCTTAGATGATATTGATCTGGCTCCAATGTCAAGTTGACATCTGACATCTTTACCATCCAGCCAATTAACCAAGCCAGATCATCTTGCTTCTGGGAACCCCATACAGTTGGTGACCTGGAACATAGTGGTCTGGAAAGGGATAGTTGATAGTGGACTAATGAGCTTTTTCTCTAGATTTGACGTAATAGCCCTTCAAGAAACTTGGCAAACCGAAGTGGACGAACCAGTACAACTGCCAGGCTTTCAGGGATGGGCCTCCCCAGCCCAAAAAACAAAGAACAAAGGGAGACTCTCTGGTGGACTATGCATTCTTATAAAGCAAGAGTTGCAATGGCAGGGAGAGAAATTATATAACGAAGATAAGTATCTGTACTTTCTAGCTGTCAAATTTGAATATGACCAGTTTGAGTTAATATTGGTAAATGTGTATATTCCCCCAAGCACATCCCAGCACTATAATTCCGAATAATGGATGTGCTTGGAAGTTATCCTAGAAGATATAGCAATACTGTATCCTCAGTCCATAGTGGTTTTATTAGGAGATCTGAACACTAGACTGGGTCCCTCTTTGTATGAGCTTGCCTAGAAGAAGGGAATCCCAGGGGAGTTCTTTGAAAATCATCCTCAGTGGCTCTCGAGAGATTGTAAAAGTAATGCCGCTGGTTTGCTTCTAGTCTCCTTAATTTTTAAGGGTAATCTCCAAATTTTGGGAGGTAAGGATAAGAATTACATATACCCTTATACATACCACTCAACTAATTCAAGCAGTGTACTGGATCCCTTTTGTGTGTCTAAAGATAAGGCTGACCTCTTCTCGGAGGTCACAGTACACCTTAGCGACAATAGCGATCATCAGCCTATAAGTGTGACATTGCGAGGCCGTTCAGATTTAAGACCATATAACATGGCTGACAGATGGCTTATTAGAATAAGGCTAGAAAGTAGAATTTGTATTTCATCAATCGGCCTTCAGTCATCGAATCATCAGCTGGAGCTAATGTTGAATAATAATGCAATGCTTGGTTTCAAATACTCCAAAATACACACTATTTCATGCAGCTCAGAGAAGCAAAATCACAAAAATCATTAAAAACTATGCATTTTATTCATCATGTCATTGGGGGTAATCATTCTGTTTTTCAAAGTCCTAGGGTTTGCATCAACATTTTACTAGCCCTGTTTTGAGCCAACAGTGTGCAGCAGCAGCCAAAAAAGCTAATATAATCCTGGGTTGTATAAACAAAGGCATAGAATCAAGATCACATGAAATACCACTGTATAAAACCATAGTAAGACCACACCTAAAATTCTGCAACCAATTTTAGTCACCATACTACAAAAAAAGATGTTGAGACTTTGGAAAAAGTTCAGAGAAGAGTAACTAAGATGATCAAAGGCCTGGAGACTAAAACATATGAAGAACGGCTACAGGATTTGGATTTGGTTAGTCTAAAGAAAAAAAGAATTAGGGGTGACATGATAGTAGTATTCCAGTATTTGAGGGGCTGTATTTGAATATTTGAGGGTCTAGTATTGTAAGAGGTGGTAGCATGGGAAGGTTTCTTTTAAAGTCAACCACCATTTCTACGGTTTTGAGTGTGTTCAGTTCTAGATTGTTCCGGTTATACTACGAGGCAAGTTATACAACTTCCTGTCTGTATGATGATTCAGATGAGACCAATCACTGTTGTATCATCTGCAAACTTCAGTATTTTAACAGATGGATCATTTGAGATGCAGTCATTGGTATATAGGGAGAAGAGAAGTGGAGAAAGCACACGGCCTTGTGA